TTGTTAGAACAGTGTTACAAATGAATTGGATATTATTTGTTCTCATATTATTTCTCAAGCTTTTCGCAACAATAAAAGCAGGATTATAAAATGAGGGTATTTTCAAAACAATTGTTTTCAGCTAGCTTTACCAATCTTGTTATTTTTTTACTATTTTCGATTTGATATTTAAGTGAAAACAGATGAAAACTGTCTCATATATCTTGGTTAACACTTATTGATAGAATTTTGTTTCTAACTGTATCAATCTACAATTTTTATGTCAATGCATTTGTGCAGTAGTTCTAAATGATATTTGTAGAATTAACACCTAAGATTCTTCACCTTAATTCTATTTACCTCATTTCTAAATATATCCTATGTAATGAAAGTTTTCAACTGAGTACAGAAATATAGTTTTGTTGGATAAAAATAAAAACTCAGTCTACTAGGTCTTCCTCGTATTTTAACCATTACGTTTACCAGACATAGATCGTCAGTCAAATTAACTGATTTTGTAACAATTTCTTGATTGATAAACGCCAAAAGCTTACACTTGTAACTTAAAGTAATCAATCACTTGAAAACGAAAAATAAAGTCAACTGAACAATTTTCAATGATTAGCAACATCTAGTGAGTTAATGTAAGTTCCAGAAATAAGTCGTGATCCATTTAGCTCAACTAGGAGAAAGGTGAAAGAGAAACACTGAACAATACTGACTCAAAGTCATTTTAATAAATAAAAATCGAAATATGGACTAAATTTTAAATGAGTATTCCAAGAACGTCGAACTCTTTGTGTGATTAAAACGTCTTAGGTTCCAATAGATAACACTGGTTAACAAAAACATCTGTTCATTATTAGCCAGTTTTCAATGAATCTTCAACAGGTTTTACATTCACGTTTGAAAACTGCTCTAACAGAGAAAGATGGTCCATTCTTATAAAAATTCTAAATTCAGCTAAAAGTACAAGATTGTTATTTAACGTTTGTAAAATGTCATTTGATAACATTGATAGTTATAATGTTTCTTTGTACAATATTAGTTTGACTAGCTAGTAGAATCAGAAGTTATTCAGTATCAACATTAGCTAAAAACCTTACCGTTTTGGCCAGAATTGTCCGCCATTATGTTCATAGTGAAAAGTCGTTGATACATTCAAGCATCATTCACATAATATCAGGATATGTTTGCGTGATTTAGTCTACGTAAATCCAAAATAAACAACTTCAAGAACTCATCGTTTCTCTGGAAATATTTGTAGTGCCTCCACGTATATTCGAGTTCGCTTACATTTAATTTGGTTAAGACCTTTCGATTAACTTATGTAACCAAGCCATTTGTATAACAATAACTTATATGTACCATTGGCTTTTATTATTGTGTGGTTTGTATGAGCTAGTATGACTGAGCATTGCTGACAGCCTACGCGCATACGCATCCTATTCGCTTTAGTATTAATCTCTTAAATATCACGATGACTCAGACATTTTCCTATGTATGCATACGAACATTTTAATCTTATTAACTCACTCTCACATTCGCCCATTCACTCGCTACTGTGCCTGCCCGGTCTGATTGTGGTCTGCTATCCCTATTTGTGGTGTGCCAAAATAAACGTATTCAGCACTTCGAGTTTACCTTCTGATTTCTAAACCGTCAAACGTTATTTAGTAACGATTGTCTGGACGAGCTAATTATGAAGACTAAGAACACGTAGAAATTGATCACCACATATTCAGCACGAGTGCTATGGGATAAACTTTCTCCAAAATCCATTTTCCTTCATCATGAAACAGTTACAATGAAATAATGAAACGTTATTTCATAAACCACTTTCAATTTCGCGTTAAAACTATTGGAATTAGGCACAACACAGAAATAAATATTTACATTACCACAGAAGCCTCACTGGTTTAAATCGACAACGATTGCTTGTGTTTTCTTTTCACTGCAATGCACAAATGTGTTTAGGAAGCTATTCCATCATTAAAATGCCTGTTTTATTTACGAATACTGTTTTCGTTACAAGATCGCTGGAGACGAGAATGTACTGTATAGTTGTTTCATGGATAATTAGAAGTAAGTAAATGCGATCCCGCCAGGAGGGAGATGCAGTTGCTTTATTTCATGAAGTTAATAGAGTTAGAGATGTGAGCCACTAAATTCCGATTAGGTAATCTAAAGCTACGCAATAAAGTTTGGATTTTTTGGTTCTGACACCTGGTGTGGTTGCAGATAGGCACTGATAAATTTCATACATGAGAGTTATATTGCAAAAGTGGAATTCTACTATTTTTAATAAAAACCTTATGCACAATTTTGTATGATGCTTTCGTCAATTAATTTTCATATTTCTAACCGCGAAAGCTTACAGTTGGATGTTTAGGATAATAACAATTTCACTACTTACTGTTTGTGTTATCCATCGAAGTTTCCTCCGTTTTATATTTGGTTCCTTGAGACAGTCCTTATTGCATTGACATTACGTTGCACTTTTAAAGGTTTTAGGATGCTTTTGTTGCACATATAAGTTTCATACTTGAATCGTTTCTATCATATGCAATGTGGTGACAATTAAAATAAATATTTTAGATAACAACTAGTTCTGTGCTTGGTTTTGGGGTAACAATCAAAAAGTTGAACAAACTTGTATTGCTTTACACTGTTCAGTGATGTCCTTGTACAATTTTGTTTTGCACAAAAGCTCTGAAAGTAAAATCTTGGCAATTTATTGTCTTCGTTGCATCGAGGATCAGTTTTTATTCAAGAACCTATTTTATTCTGTATGAGTTTATACGGCACATTAACACTTTCCATGGAAATACATGGTAGCAAAACTTGTGCATTCTGATAACGAGATTGTGATATTACAAACTCGTGTATTATAGGGTATTACCATATTTATCATTTATTTATTTATTTATATCTCAGCAAAACTAAAAGATCCATTTCATCCGTCACTAGACATAACGTTTTGCAAACACCGAATGATCGATTGATTTGTAATGATGAGTGAAACTGGGAAGTGAATAAATCACTACTTAGTGACTATTCATAATTACCAATAAACAATTCCAAAGGTCTCTTATTGACTGAAATTATCGGTCTGTTTAAAGCTGGTGATTTGAAAAGACTTTGTAAAGATATTCTGTTTATTTATTAGCTTGTTAAGATCAAACTTAAGTAAAAAATTGCTAATGTACTAAAGTACTACCCTAAAAACGTTATTTACCTGTAATAAATCAAGGTTATATTTTAAGTAGTGCATTTAGAGATGTCGCATTGATAAATTAGATTTAAAAGTAGTTGGTCGATGTGACCAGCATCAATTGGAAAATCAATGATTTTATAAGCACGTACATCCATCCGAGTTATAAATTGTCATGTTTCTGTAAGACTCGATGATCCTGTATTCGATCATTAATCGAACCATGGACGTAAACTCCCAGCCGTAGCTGCTACCTTGAAGTTGTGGTGGGGTTTGTCCACCATGCTGACCCAACCGAGCCATATAGGCTGGAACACATGTTCCTGTAGGTTCTACCACGACAGGCAGGTCGATTGGAGAACGATGAGACTAAAAACAGCTACTCAAGTTTTGAGGGCGACGTTGTGCTGCTGACTGTAGAGGGGTGTGATAGCAGTAAGGTGTTTCGCTTACACAACTAGCATCCACAGCGATTCTGCCTTCTCACAAGGAAGGAAGGGTCAAGTAAGAGTCGACCCTAAAAATATCACACTTCACCTTACCTCATGGATTTCCATCTCTGGAGTTCAGCCTGTTCGGTTCCAGACAGTAACCACCGAAGACACTGAATGAGATTGCGCAAGACCGTTAATTAATCGTAGTTAAATAGTAACACCGTTAGATACCGGCTTAGTGGCCCAAAGGTTAGGCATTCGCACGCAAGACCGAAGGTCGTGGGTTCGAATCCTCGTGAGGTGCAAGAGTCGTGGACGCGCACTACTGATGGGTCCCTCGCCAGGACGAAACGGCCTTGCAGTGCTTTCAGGTTTCTAACTGTGGTCTAACAATGATCGAATCATAATTTCAAATATTAAGGATTTCCCAATTCAGTGTTTATCAATGGTAGCCTAGCTGCTCTTGGTCAATGAAGAAAACTATTTATAAAAGTTTTTGGATTTCTGCTTTAGATAGTGAAGTGATGAATATTTCTCAACAGCTGCTATGCAGGCTTGCCGCTGCAAGATTAAAATGATTCAACTAGATATCGTTTGATGTTCCATTGTATTAGTTATCGTTTGAGCTTCCAATATGATATACCATTTCGCAAGTTAGTAGATTAATCTTTAGTTTCTATCAGCTAATACACAAAATATATGACTAGCCTCTTCAATTCTAAGCATTAGATTAAATTTCACTTTCATATTTGTTAAAGTAGGGAGGATGTTTTTGCGACATAAACTAAAATGAAAAGAATTTTGACTATCTATCGATGGCGGCTTATTTTTTAAGCTAACAGAAAAATAAATGACGGCTTTTTGTAAGTATAACAGATTTATTTTCTTTGTAAACTTTATTTCTCTAATGAACATCATAAATAATGAACGCGCAACAGTTACCATATGAGGTTGCTCAGAGCACTTTCAAATATTTGTAAAATTAACTTCAATGTTCGATGTGGACATGTGATCTTTTGAATGACTATCTTTTATCAGTTTTTCATTAGATTTAAGCAAGCATTGATAATATGTGACTAAAAAACATTTATTTCACCTAAATTCTTAATTGAGAATAACTTCTTATAATGTAGATGTTTATTTTCCCTAACATAAAGTGTTAAAATCAGTAAATACCGCATGCAAGTGGCATCTTCATTTTCATTGTACAAAATCTCAGAATTCTACACGTACTCGTTCGAACGAAGTAGGACTGTTTTACACCGACGTGATTTTTTAGTTAGTTAGTTTAAAAATTTATTTACCGTAATTTATTGATTTATCCAACTTTATTAGATGGTAATTCTAATATTACTCTTTGTCCTCTTTTGTAGTTATCCAGTATTATGGAAGTAGCCTGTGAAATTGAAATGATTAAAGATCCTGAAACAAGAAAGTCAAATATCACATATGTGGCAAGACACATTGAGGATGCCTTGAGTTCACAACGTGAATATCGATCCGGCTGTGGCATACGTTTTAAGCATTGCTTAGCTAAAAGTTGTTGCTTATGGTTTGGTAAACGTTACGGAAATTATTTGATATGCTTATATTTAATTACAAAATCACTGTACATATTCAATGTGGTTGGGCAATTTTTTTTAATGAACAAAATCTTGGGCACAAATTATACATTTTATGGTTTGGATTTACTCCGTGATATCAGTGAAGGTTATGTCTGGCAAGAATCTGGGAATTTTCCACGTATTACTCTATGTGATTTTGAAGTACGTAAAGTGGCCAATAAACATAGGCATACAGTACAATGTGTACTGCCAATCAACATGTTCAACGAGAAAATTTTTATATTCTTATGGTTCTGGTTTATATTGGTGGCTGCTGTAAATACAAGTAGTTTTCTATATTGGTCATATAAATCCAGCTTTCGTGGGACGAGAATCCAGTTCATTAGAAAATTTTTAAAATTACGTGGAGCTTTAGAACCGGGTGATAAGAAACGAACATTGACATTTGTTGATTCATATTTAAGACAAGATGGTGTATTTATTTTAAGATTGACAGCACAAAATGCAGGTGAACTAGTTGCTTCTGAAATAGTTGAAAGATTATGGAACATGTACAGAGTACATCAAACTGTCACCACAACCTCCACATCTCAACCGATTTCTTATCCATTCACCCAGCAACCACAGCTACCACAACATCAACCATCACATAGATCATCTCATCATCACCATCATCATCGTTCTAGTACAGCATCGAGTAGTAATAGACGAGCAAGTCGATCACTTACACCAGTAAGCTCTTCTGACTCATCAGAAATAAGAAGAAAACCGCCTCCAAGTTATCCGGCCCATCATTTACGACCACCGCCAGCTAGTCCAGCAGGAAGTCAACTCCCTCCTCCTCTCCCACCGTCGCTAAGACCGTCGGCACCACCACCTCTTCCTCCAATATTAGGAACAACAACATGTGGTAGTTTAGATGGTACAAGTAGTTCTATAACAAGTCAAAGTCAACCATCCACAGTGACTGAAAACACTGACCAGTTTATAAGAATGAGGTCAGCAATTTCAGGTAGTATAGGATTTGAAAGTTTAAGACCAGTTAATAGTCAATCAACAGATTTACATAATAGCTTTGATTTAAAAAAGAGACAACCCACTACGGAAGTTGGTTCTCTTCTAGGTACAGTTAGTGTCAAATCTAGTAACTCCAAACAACAACAGCAAGCACATAGTCAAAGTTCACAGATTCGTAGTCAGTCAGAAGAAGATCCTGGAGAATTCGTTTAATATAACATTATTTTTCACTTTGTGGAGTAATACAAGAAAGTGATCAATTTTTTCTTCAAACTCTTCTAAACTGTGATTTTCAAATATTTCCCACTGATTTTATTTTTTTTTTTGTACATTCAATACCTTCCAGTTGCCTGAATTGTTCAGCATTTAACAATAGTGAATTTACTTAAAAATTGATTTCCTCAAGACATTAACTCTGTTCTAGACATTTGAATTTTCTGTTCAAAGCGCCTCTGGTATCTATTTTTAAAGTCTATTCATATTTGTTTATACAGCTATCTTTACAATGCTTAGATTATTTTCAGAGTAAAACAAAAATTCCATAAATGGATTTTAAACACCACTTTTCAAAAGAGAAAATAGACTGGCAAGTACTTAAATCTAAAACAGAACATTTAAACCCATTAAAAATATGCACCATTTGTACATGTATGCCTTTGTAGATATCTATAAAAAAATATACGTAACTTTTGTAACACTCCAATCCATTAAGCCTTGCTTGAAGTGACATTACACAGGCGCTATATTAGTAGATGGATGGATGGATGAAAGGACTAAACTTTTCACTTACCTTTCTAGAAAATTCTCACAACGATCAATATCCCTAGATTTAATTAATGTAGCAGACTTTAGAATTGGGTAATTATAAGTTTATCTTGGTTTCAGTTTCAAATGACAAGATTTTTCGAATTATAATGTGCAGGCTAAATGATCATAAAGTAAAAATGACAATGACAGACATTCCAAAATGTTAAAAAATAACGAGTCTGTTACACGATTTTCCAACAAAATTTTTTAATGTTCTGGTAAAAGCATTTAGATTTACAGCACTGTAGTTAGATAATTAGTAATGGAGACAAAACAGCGTATTTGTCTTGTTACTGAAGCTAAAAGTCACTCAATTAGAAAATTTCAAAATTCTTGAAGAAAAGTTAATATGAATGAGGTAAACGTTGTGCTATTGTGAACTAGCATATATCATCGTGAATGACATACACTATGGTCATTACGTTCATCAGTCTACATACTACTGACTGAGTTCGATGATCCTGATGACAAACAGCAGTAAAAGGCTCGGCAGAAATTATCTGAATTTTACAAATCAGACACAATCATAAGCTTTAACAATTTCACCATATCCTGTTTAAGTTGTATAACGTAGTAACGTAGTAGTATAACGGAGTAACTAGTGTTTCGAAACTGTTAAAATTTGTCCTTAAAATTAGGATTAATTTATTACTTTTGGTAGAGAGTGTATTCATTATTCTAAAATAATTATCTCTACATGCAATAAAACTGGATAAATAGAGAAGAAACATTTGAAACCTACAACGTTTCGAATCATTTACCTTCATCAACATACACAACAAGTTTGATGAAACCATCTTGTCAGTAAACGGGCAATAATGATATTTGATAAAAGGTATCAGTGATTTCGCTTTATTGAAAACTACTAGCAAGTGCTGTAAATCATTCAAAACCGTAAACCCTATTTATAATGACTGTTAGAAAATGATATCTTTCGTGCTAGGTAGGAATAACTTGTGGATAAATAAAAAAATGACTATTTTAGTGATTATGACCAAGGTAAATCGAGTAACTGACAAGAAAATGTGCTGCGTCCGACTAAGTAGTATTTAGTAACACTATCACATGATAAGGCGACAACAAAAAGAAACAGTAATTAAATCTGAGTTAAGTATCAAAGTAATTCGAAAATAAAACTGCAGATTTTCGTTCATACTCACTGAAACTGATGTGTAACATTCTAAAAATTCTATTTGTTTTCAAACTCTTGTTAAACTTGGCATGGTCCGCAACATAATACCAGATTGATAAATAGCTTTAGTATTCATGAAATATATTCAGTTGAGTATATAAATAAAAATTGCGATTTGGAAACAGTATGAGAGATTCAGATTCTGTCTCACTATTACTTTGATGAAACGGTTTAGTCTTAACAAAAGGTAGAATTTCATGTGATAATTTAAATATGACAAATGTTCTTTATGTGACATATCCTTTTAACTCGCTTGGTCAACAATGATCCAAACGATATATCTTCGAGAAACCCAACCTATTGATCACCGACTTGAGCGTCTACTAATTACTTTTTTCTGTCCAGCGAACGTCCGTCAGAAACTCTGCCAGTACAGAAAGTTATGTGATTACTCGGTAGTTCCTGCCCTTACTAGGAGCCTTCTCTGGTATCTTGATGAAGTATCTATCTATCTATCTATCCAGCCTGTCATTACTAGTTCTTCCTCTCAGATCTTTCTGGATATAAGAAACGTCTTTGTAGTTTACTCGATCCCTGAAGTTAATACTTAAATTCGTATGCAATCTAGTCCTACAGCCTGCCTACAGATATCTATCATATCAAGTCCTTTCTTTGATCTTACGTCTTCCACGTCAGATGTAGAACAGAAATGATTATTCATGTATATAGGATTGATCTGGTTCACAGTTCACAGTAACATGGTCCTGGAAAACCAATGTAGCTTTTTGTATGCAGTCCTATAACCATGTTGTTGGAAGCAGTTAGATTTACAGACCTATCACTAATCTCATCTTTTTCGGGCGATCTTGGAGCTATAAGTTCATCATATAGACCTCTATGTGTTTACTAAGGTGTTATCAATGATACTGCTTGTTTGTGCAGAGCATTTTCTTAATTCTGACCATAATAGAGCAACATCACGACCTAAATTAACGGTAGACATTAGATTGTTTCAGGACTTGCGTTTTATTGCGATAATGTTGAAACTCAGGTTCATTAGATCGTTCATTCATTGTGACATTCTTCAAAATAATCATCTTACTATCACACCAAGATCCATACTCCTAACAAACTAGACAACTAATCAGCTGTTTTTGAGACAAATATGAATGTAAAATAGTAGTAAGTTTTGTGTATTTGTATTTATATGTAAGATGTAAAATCATATGTTTCAGCTGTTGATAAATAAAACAAAGAAACTTAAATGAACAGCTACTTGGCTAAAACAATGCTATCATCAAGCTAACAGTGAAGTTTGATTGTATTTGACAGCTAATTGGATGTTCGATTTGTTATTAAAGTTGGTATTGCGCAACCGCGATGGCTAGACAGTTGTCTGATCAAATTCATCAATTAGTCATTTTGATGCTGGTAGGAAATCAAATCATTTTAATTACATGAATATATTTAAATCATTATCTGCACATTTTAATAATTGAAACAGTTTCGTTGTTTTTCAAGTAAACTAAATGAACATTTATTACGGGATTTATACATACCATTATTTCAACGTTCAAAGTATGTCGCATTCTTAGGAATTATAAAATCATTACCATAGGAGGTCTATAAAAAACCAGTTTTATTTATAGATGATATAATTTTATATAGGCTGAACCATGGATTCAGCAAAATAATGAAGGTAAAATTGAGTTTTATCTGGTCAGGCATTTATCTTTGATTTAGAAAAATTACATTGACTCAGATTAGGAACTCATATATTTGCTCTAATTATTCTTAATCTTTTAATCCCATGAGCTGTATCTACTAAATAGATTTTTAAGATTATAAGAATCGGAGTAAGATATGATAATGAGGAGTAAAAGAAAATTATATAACCAGAAATTAGGCATTATTTTCGAATTAAAAAAATAATATAATATTAACAAGGGGTCTTATAATAATTTTAACTGGACACTGATCCAAAATCATGCTGTCATATTTTCATATTTCCACTGTTTTAGCATTATTCGAACAGTTTTTGAATTTAATTAGGCTAAACTTCGTCACTTGTGAGTGTTTGCGGTTCGTCTGTGTGTAATTTACTGATAGTCATCATTGGTGTGTATTGCATAGATGTGGTAAGAGAACACTTGACAATAAATACCGGCACAGAATTCAAGACTCAATTATACTGAAACTTAAGTATGAATTATATAATTTTTGAGATTATTTATCATAGCATGGTTTACTCTAAATGGATTCGAATAATACTAGTCAATTTCAATATGTTACAAAGTGAGAATTTCCAGGTGTATTTTTTCTTTTTATAAAAGCGAATCGCTGAGATTTGAAGCGATCACATGTAATGTACAATGTACAATGAATTTTTGTTTATCTTATCTCTGTTTTATTCATCATAGTCTTGGAGAGTCCAAACAACTATTACACGAAACAACATCAAGCAAACAGTCGCTCTTTAATCACATCTGTTCATAAATTACAAATATGCCTAGCCATAGTACGTGTGTTACTGAAGCGGTAATGACATTAATTTAAAGTAGCAATTAAAATATAGTTTAGCTATATTAGTATATTCCAGAATTTCCGACTGACAGAATTTTAGGATATAATAATTATTTTACAATGGTCATCTTCCACTTTTATTGATGAATAAGTCACAAAATGTCTCCAATGTCATGGTTAGGCAGGGTAAATGAGGACCATATAGAAAGGAACAACAAAATACATTTAGGAATATCTACTTCATATTCTCTATATCAGTGACTTCTTGAAAAAAGATAAAATAAATTGGAGTGCGAAAAAAAATTTCAGTAATGAATTAACGGATTGAATAAACCCCAAAACACGAATATGGTCGTCACATGAAGCAAATCAATAAACTTTTCATTTTCTCCTTAGGGTAATCCTGTTCCATTTTCAAATTTTCATTAAAGCGAACATTAAACCTTGAGAAGAATGATAAAGAATTCCTGGTATTTTGTTAGGACACAGACGTCATGACTGAATACGCTTTATGCATGTAAGCTTAAAGTTTCTACTCTTCAATGAACAAGTCTGATATTACTTACAAAGTTTTACATTTCAATGTTCAATCTTCAGTCCACTTTTCGGGACGAAATTCTGTGTACGGGGATTTTGGCAAATAGTATGAAAAATTATTATTTAACGAAAATTTTTTATAGGAAATGAAGAAAACCTAAAAAGCAATCAATCTTGCTCTTATTTTAACCATTATGTCAACAGCTCTATTTGAATTTTTATCCTATATTTGAACCACAATGAAACAAAAGACCAATTTTGATTAATGATTGTCCGCATAGTATTATTGATGAGAACTTTTTCGAAAGATAGCTTATCTCAAATTAGAAAAATAAGATATACATGTTTGGGAATTTTCAGTTACATGAAAGAAATAGACGTTTTTAGTACTTTGTTCATTTTTTACTACTAATAACGTTTATTTTTTCTCATTCAAAGTAAACCCAATGGAAACAAATCTCACATAAATTTCAGTTAGCAAGTTTTACTAGTAAGAATTTATTCAGTATCTAGCAATTATTCTGTTTTAACGATT